CAGGTCAGCATAGACCACGCTCTGGGCCATGTGCCTGGCTGCTCTGGTCCCCCTGAGACCTCTCGGTCCACTCTGGCTGAGTGGTCTTTCAGGGCTGCAAAGGAAAAAAGTGGGACTTGTTTCCGCGGAATACAAAATTTGCTGAATCGTTCAGCGACAGGAACAGAAAGCACAGCCACAGCACCCTGTCATTGGCCCCAGCACCACCACTCTGTTGCCTTCCACGCCCCGAAACTTCTCAGGGTCCCCGGGGATGGTGAAGGGGTGGTGCACCTTGGGGATGGGGAGCTGGGCAGGGCTGCAGGGCTCAGCCTACTGAGAATGAACTCAAACCCCTGGGTCAGGGTCCAGCTTCCACATAGGAGCAGGTGGCTCTGGGGCTGGCCACATCCAGGACGGGGGTTCCACTTCTGTCCAAGGTTAGAGCTGGTCTGGCCACTGAATGACAGATGCTCACTGTTAACTCCTCTGCCCTCCCAAAGGGGAAGTGAAAGGGAATAAGGGAGAGATATTTATAGACTGGAAAAGAGACCTAAAAGAGCTTTAAGGAAACAATGACAATACTAATAGGAAAATAATTAAAATAATGATATATGTAGAAATATATACAAAATCAAAACCTCAGCTTCTCCAGTGGATGACCACTGATGCTGGATTTGGGAACCGGATGCAGGAACTCACGGGTGGGGATCAAAGGCAAAGAATGGACAGAATCCTCCTCAGACACTGGCCATTGAAGAAGAGGGCTTAAGCTTTGTGATTCCTCAGCTTTATACTGAATATGATGTGTATGGAACAGAATAATTTGTTAGTCAGTTTTGCATCACCTGTCCTGTCTGCTCCTCCACAGAGGTGCAACATTTGACTTCTTAGCTTCCCAACGCATTACAAAAGGTTTCGCAGTGTACTTGGTGTCTGTAGGAGCAAGTATAAGCAAGAGCCTTTCTTCATACCAGTCCTTGGTAGCTACCATAAACATCAGGTGTTATTATTTCTAGTAGAAGACACTGTCTGTAAAAACACACTGTTAACTTCAGAAAGTACAGCCTCGTAGAAGAGACTGAGCTGAAAATCCGAATCACTGAACAGAACTGGTTCTGTTCCAGCCCAAGACAAGATACCCCACTCTGTGCTCTGCTCCAGGGTTTCAGCGTCAGTGCTACGCAGAAACATTTGCCACAGTGCCTAAAAGAAGTTTCTGCGTTGTGGTGTGAGCTCTTGATCTTCTCCACTTCTCCTGGCCACATGTCCCAACTCTGCCAGCAAGGAAACTACAGAGCCTGTACGCCAGACCTCGAAGGGTCACGATAAATACCCCCAATTTCTCTCCTTGTGTCCTCAGCCCAGTGCTCCCACAGCAGCAGGCAGGCAAGTCAGGCTTAGGTAAATCCCACTGGCCTCCCCCCAGCCACCACTCATGTTCTCCTTGGGCCCGAACCACTGTGTGCCCAGGAGGATGTGCTCCATCTTCCTGGGGATTGACTGGAAGCTGCTCAACCTTTAGCTTTCCAAACCTCCTTTGAACCTGGATGTGATTTTTGCCCTTCTTCAGTGATGAAATTCTTCCCTTGTTCTTGCAGAGATGGTGGAGAGTGGCTGTGCATTGCCGTGCTCCACCAGCATTGCTGTACATCTCCAGTCCTGCCCCAGGAACTGGCTGTGTCAGGATGTGCCCAGCTGGTCCTCAACTCAGCATTCCTTCTGAAATCTGTCTTTGTCTGGATGTACTTCAGTTGAGAGCACTGAGATGCTGAGAGGCTGGAGGGTGGGACCGAGGAAAAGAAGCTGTGAGTGCTAGGGTTGTGGTGTGTGGAAAGGAAGGCAAAACAGATGTCGTTGCTCTATGCAACTCTTTGTGGAGGTGGGGAAGAGGTTTGGAGCAATGCTAAAGCTGAGATCTTCTAGGAGGGGACCAGGAAGAGGACAAGAGGCAGTGGCATAAGCTACATCACTGGGAAATTCCTATTTCCAGAGGCCAGGAGGGGAAATTTGCATCTATGAAGACCTCTAGACCTCCACAGGGCTATCACTGGGGTAATGTGTGTGTGGGCAGAAACAGGCAGGACGCAGAAACAACCACAGGCCACGGCTGAAATGCAAAGAGTAGATTTATTCTCGCTACCCGGAAATCTGGAGAATCCTTGCAGCAGCACCTAGATGGAGGCACACAGGCAGTGGTCACACGAGCAGCATGGCAAGTGGAAACACAGGCATAAGGAGATTTCTCCTTGTTAGAAAGCATGTGGTATTGACCTCACTGCTTTGTTATATTTTACTTGCTGCTCTGCTGAGTTCCCAGGACTCACACGACAGCTCTGTAGAGCAGGAGTGTGAGAGATGGCCCCGCATCTATCTCAGACCTCTGTTACCTAAGTGCAGGTGTGCTGCTTGTCGAGCACACAAGGCCAAGCAGTAACCCAGTGTGATACACATGTTTTCCAGCACCTCAGGTGCAAGTCACTTGAGCGTACCTACACTGCTCCTCTCCAGTCTTCCATTGCACCCCTACAATGTGCATCCAGGCTAGCCCTGCTCTGCCTCATCACTCCCTGGGCTCAAGGATTTGGGTTCATCCCCTCTCTGCCACCACTCTGACCTCAGGCTGTGCTGTCCCAGTGCTGTTGCATGTCCAGAGGAACCGTGAGTGCTTTTGAGGTGTGGGAGGGGACAGGCTGGTGGTGCGGGGGCCAATGAGAGGGTGCTGGTCCCTGCAGCCGTGCCTCACTAGTCCCATCTGCTACAGTTCAGAGCAAACTTCTGCTTCTGCAGACACTGGCTGCGTTTCTCCTTTGTAGGCAGTGCAATTACTGGGGAGCAGGACCATCGCAGAGAAGCATCCCAAGGGCAAGGTTAGAGCCAGCAGAGCTCAGGGCTTGCCCACATGGCCCAGAGTGTAGTTTATGCTGACCTGAGGTTTGCCAAGGTGATGGGGAGCCGGAGCACGGCCAGCCAGGCGCTGGAGGCAGGTGAGAGCCCACAGGACCCCCTCCATGCTGTATTCACCACTCTCAGCCCTGTGGACTCAGCTGCTCTGCGCTGGCTTCTTTCAACAGCCCTTGGCATGGACGATACGGAGAGCCCCTACGAGAATACACAGCCGGCACCAGTGGGGCAGGATGGGGATGGGGGCCAGGCCCA